CGTCAGATCTTACAGAGATCATTTGACAATGCAAAACTGCCAATCAGAATTCCTTGAGAGAGAGAGAGAGAGAGAGAGAGAGAGAGAGAGAGAGAGAGACTTTTTCTATACAACCAATCAATTAGTTGAAAAAAAATCGGGTGACTAATCGATTATGAAAAAAAGTTAAAAGGAAAATTATTTTTTCCTCGGGGGAGCAGGGGGAGTAAATCCGGCCCTGTCTGCGCCTTACATTTTTTAACTAAATTCTAACAGTGTCTGGCCACAGCTTTAAGGTTCTGTTCTGCAGAGTCCAATGCAATGTTCTGAATTGTAGGACAGCAGGAAGAGCTATCCAGTCACATCTGCTGCTCACCTCTACCGGCACCGGGTCCAGTCCAGCGCAGTTCTCATTACATTTGTCGTACACCAACCTCAGCTTGCGGAACAGAATGGAAAGCTGTCGCAGGTGCTCTTGTAACTTCCCCAGCCGGTCCTGGTAGGTCCCGGTATGATAGGTGACGCCATTTGGCAGCTGTGGGAGAAGATGACAGGTCGATTGTAAACCAAGATATGGGCATATACAAAGTATGAATGTCAGCTCAAAGCAAAACTATACTCACCTCCGCTCCAGAGACGTGACATCCATGCGCCCCCTCGTAGGCGAGGGCATCTTCTGGGTTCGGGGTTTTCCGCCATTTTGATTGGCCAGGATGGGATGGCGTAATTCCTGTACGTATGCACTGGAGATAACTCGCTCCTACACGCGCTGTCTGGGGTTGTACGCTGAGCTGTGCGCGTTCATCTCCATGTTCAGCAGGGGTGGGCTACTCCTGCCCTTCAGCTGTTGAGAAATGAGGCATTGCAAGAGCCACATGCATGACTCCAAGAGACATATGCATCATGGGATTTGTAGTTTCACCACAGCTGGAGGGACGGAGTTTGCCCACCCCTGATCTAAGGACTGGTAAGCTGCAATATTTATATATTGCAGTACTAATTGAATACGTAATGGTACTGTAACCCATAGCAACCAGATTTCAGTACAGTGTCATCAAATCTTCGGATTGGTTGCAGCATCTTACCAATTCTCACACTGTCATCTGGCTGATTTACTCAATGCGTCACAATGAGCCTTTTATAATGCTCATCAGAAGTCCATGCAACAAGTGACAACGCAGAAGCACAATTGGCAGGCAGGGACATAGTGTTGTCATCCTATACCAGGAACAAGGCTAACCTTCCACAGCAGGATCTCTTTGTAACACTCCAATGAAAGCTGCAGATTTAACCCCTTCACCTAATTTCTATAACTAGCTTCAGAACCAGCAGACATTAGAATCAGAAACCTGGGCCATTTCGGGGGACCCGGAAACAGTGCATGGCGCCCGCAGAGTCCGTGGCATAGCACTCACCTGCATGTTGCGCAGCAGCTGGAAGATCTCCATGGTGCGGAAGACGATGTCCTGCACCGTCTCTTGTCCGATCCGGCACAGGGACGCCGTGTTTACCTCCCGAGGGGCGGCGGCAGAAGCTGCAGCACCGGGGGGAGGAGCGGGGAAGCCACCGGGGGGCCCCGCCATTCCCCCACCGGAGAGCGGAGGAGTGGACATATCGCGCCAGGCCTGACCGCAGACAGCGCGGATACTCTATCCTTTGCCCTCCACAAGATGGCCGCGGAGAGCCGCACACTGCCTACGTCTGTTCCCTGGTTTGCCAATCACAGCATGGCGGGGCTTTTTTTTCTTCAACATCTTTGTTTATATTGATACAAAAGAACAACAATGAATGGGAAGGGAATGGTGTCAGGAGATGGGTGCACTTCAGTTTCGGAAATGCAATGATTTCTTCTCACTCTAATTCAGACATATGTTGGAGTATTAAACTCACAAACGTTTTTCAGTAATAAATGCGGATCAAAGCAATATACAGTGCCCAGCAAAGTATTTCTTTACATTTTTGCCCAAGCAATCACAGTCATCATATCTCCAAACTGCTCTAACTCTCTCAGCTCCGCTTCCCTGAACTTCCTGTCCAGTACAAGATCACAAGGGATAGCAACGTCTCTAGCAAGTATCCATCTATTAGCAAAGGGAAGGGAGGAAGAAGTAGGAGTAGGGCAACGTAGGGAGCAAGGAAACACACACAGCTTACTAGCACAGACAAGGGTGGCTCCATAGGACCCTGTACAGTCCCAACTGTGATATTTACATATGAATGGGTGGCACTATTTACATATGAATAAGCCACAACTCCAAAAAAATGTCTACGCGTCGCTAGAGTGTTCGGGTTTCGCTTGAAGAAAAGGTGGCAACCCTAACTATGAGGTGAGTGATTTCCACTCATCCTCATAGTTAGAGCCGACCCGTGACAAAGAAGCTGTCACAGGTCGGCTCTAACGATCAGGAAGTGTGTTAACTCTTCTAATCCACGTATTTGATCTACCTTAGTAAACCACTCCTTTAATGTAGGGGCTTCTTTGCCTTTCCAGTGTAATGGAATATGTGATTTAGCTGCATTCCACAAATGTGGAGTTATGGATTTTTTATATCGACTTTTCAGATCCTTCATTGCTGTGAAATAATAATACCCAAGGGTCATAACATATAGAAATTCCCTGTATTACATCATCTATATGATTTCTTCCCACTGCTGTACATCGATGGTCGGGTGTTCACCCTTCTTTATGAAAGTTTTCTTCTTTTCAATAAACAGGGTAAAAAAGGTTTATTACTTTCAGAATTTATGGTATATACAACCGTCGCCTGACATACAAGATGAGGTTCATGAAGTACGGCTCTTTGAAGGTGGTTTGTGATGAAAATTGACGGCAGATGGTGGCTTTGGCTCTTCTCAATGCCTTAACCATTGCCCACATACCAATTCAGTAACCAAAAATTAACATAAAATGTTTAAATTTCATAAATAAAAATAACACTGGGCACCCTAAGCAGTAAGTTAATAAACTTGTTTTCGAATCTCTGGCAGACTGCTCTTAGAAATTTATATTTGGCAACCTTTGTCTTCATAAATTGCCTATGACAGTGTTCAATGTGTCTTTGGAGCGTAGACTAGAACATCATAAAATCATTAATATCATTTTAAATAAAATGATTACAGGCTTCTGGCTACAAGGGACCTCTTTGAATTTTCCACTTGGAAATCCGCAATCAATATGATTATCAGAAATGCCTGCCAAGCTCTCTGGAAAGTCTTGATGGGGACAGTGATGCCAAAACCGGGCCAAGTGGGAAAAGACAGAAGAACTGTAATTTCCTCAACTGCCTCAGAGCAATACACAGTGTAATATAATGCCAATGGCAGCAGCAAGCACCGACTTTAATTATTATAAGTATAATATATTTTAATTGTTATGCTGGCAATGGCTGACATTAATTACAACATAATGCATATACATGCTGGTGCATATGGCTGCAAACCTGACTTTGCCTTCTTCAATATTTCTCTATTTGAATGGATACTTCTAGATCAGGGGAGGGCAACTCCAGCCCTCCAGCTGCGCTTTACTACAAATCTCAACATGCCTCTGGGAATTATGCATGTAACTGTCAGTCTTGCAATGCCTCAAGGTAGTTTCACATCAGATGGAGTTGCCCATCCCTGATATCTTGGACCTGTTAGAAGATCATCTCCTCCCAGGCACAATGGAAACATCCAAGAGTCGATGGTTTAAAGGAGAACTATGAGGTGAGTGCTTTTCACTCACCTCATAATTCTAGCCGACCTGTGACAATGAGACTGTCACAGGTCGGCTCAGTAGATCGGGAGGTGAGCGAACACATACTGGCGTTCGCTCACCTCTCGATCCTGTCATGGCTCTCTGCCGTGACAGGGGAGGGGCTGGATTTCCCCCTCCCGGCTCCGGTCCACCAGCGCTGACTGGCGGAACGGATGGGGGAGGGGGCGGGTACAGCTGGCTCTGCCTCTAGATAGGCAGACCCAGCTGTCAGTCACGCAGCTGGGTGGATCCAGACATAATTGTCGGGATCCGCTTCAGCTGCGGCGTCTCAGTATACCGCGAGCAGCAGCTGGCAGTATACTGAGCCTAGGGTGACGGGAGGACGCTAGTTTGTGTCCTCCCGTTACCCTAAGGAGAACTATGGGGAAAAGCCTTAACCCCATAGTTCTCCTTTAACAGCTAGAGAGCAGAACACTAACTAATACCTTATTCAGAAACAGAGGACAAAAAAAACAGAAACACAGGGCTCTTCTAGGGGACCAGTATTCATATTGTTGGAACCTCTTGCACAGCCTCGCAGAGAAACACAAGCACACAGTCTGATATGCATGCTGCACATAGCTTGGCTAAAACAGGAAGGAAGCCACAGCTTTATTTTCTACCTTGATGCAATACAAAAATGAAGAGCAAGCAGTTAAAAATGTGAAAGCCATAGAAAAAAAACTACACATATAATTACTCATAAAATTATCCAGATAAATAATAACTCAAATATTTTGTTTATTGAAAATGTAATGACGGTTGGCTTGTATATAACTGAGAAAAATAAATGCATATAATATAAAACAGGAGTTAATATACCAAATGCTATCATTTTATTTATTAACCGCATTCAGTCATCGGAGTACAATACTTTTCACGGCAGTGGTCCTTTAAGTGGCCGTGTAGGCTGTAATGGGTGGGCAGCGTTCTTACTGACAATGGCCATGTTTCTGCATCATCATTTGAGCAATGGACGTCTATTCTTTCCCTTATAAATTGTCTGTTTTTTTAATTATTGTTAATAACATTTTTAAGCTTCTCGAATGTAATTGTAAAGGATTAGTGGCATGATTTTAGCTGTAGTAAGTCTCAACTGGCGGCATGTCAAAATTTTGTGCATAAATCCCTGATTCACTGTTGTCTGATGTACACTAACAAGTGAAGTACCTCTGGATGTTTTTTTTTTATTTCACAAATTGAGATTGAGATGAAATTCAGCTAAAAACTAATCAATAGCCACTGAACAAAGGAACAACCTATTTTTGCTTATTGAGTTGGTACTTCATTTTGACCTGCACACCAGAGAAACCAATTTTTTTAATGGGGTTTCCTGGTAGATGATTCTTGACGCAACACTTACAGGGTAGCCTACACCAGGGCTGGACAAATCCCAGGAGCCAGGTAGCCAATGCTCCTTAAATGGCGTCTAACTTTTGAGTTTTTGTCTAGTTTTTGTCTAGTTGTTGTCAATGGAGCTGACTCCTACAAAAAACCCTACTGGCTTCGGGATTGGGCAGACTGGCTCCTGAATTCCATATTAATGTGTTGACCCCTGGCCTACGCTATACACTAGTGACACAGAGTCATTACAGCAGTAGAATTTCGTTTTAAAAAAAAAAAGTTATTTTAACATTCCCTGGATTTTCTAATAGTTAACAGGGTGAAATCAACAAAAGGTTTAGACTACAGTGATGAGAAAAATCAAAAGAGCAGGATAGAAAATTTTTCTCAAACAAAAAAAATTCTAACAGTGAACGTGGTTTTTATTTTGGAAAATCCAATCATTCGAAAATCGAATAATAAAATCAAACTGAATTTTGAATGATATTCGTCCAGTCTCTGATGGCATTAAAGAATGTTCTGACGAGAGTTTTCTCATGAACGTTTGTACAGAAATCTACCAGTGTATAGCCAACTTTACCCAGGTTGCCAACCATTCAAATTGAAAGTGTATATTAAGTAGAAAATAAAAATTTAGGAAATAATGGCATACACTACACTCGTTTCAGATTTTGGTATTCTCCTTTAACTATCTCCTTTGGTTCCACTTTTTTCAACTTGGTGATCCTGACAGTAACAGTCTGCATGAGCACTTCTGTGTTAGGATGACAATGTTCCCTAAGTGGTTACCTAAGCAGGAGCAGTGTTGTCTCCCCAGGAGTGCACGCTCCTGCTGTGTATTGCAAGATACTGCCCATGGTGTATTGCCTTCAGGCAATTAATTAGTCAGCCTACGTCAGTGACTCAGGTTGCGTACCCGCAGATGAAGTGCTCATGCATAAACAAGAAGTGTTCTAAAATAAAGTTTAGAAAACAAACTTGAAGGTCTGTGTTGCAAAAAAAATATTCTGTTGTTAATACCCGGAAAGAAAGAATGCAGTTTACGAGTTGCATTTTTTCCCCACAGGCCATTGTTTTTCTCTACATGTTCATGCAGACCCAACTGTCCAGCAAAAGCAGAAGTTACAGGGGCTGAGGGGCAGAGACCCCTTTCCATACACAGGTTTTTATTGGTTACCCCAAGGAATCACATTGAGACTGTGACAAAGGAGTTAAAACTGACAAACTATCCTATAGACACAAGAAGCCTAGTGATGGCAGTAAAATAGGCCTCCTCGCTAGGATATTAGTCTCACTTTCACCATTTCAGATGCTCCTCATTTGAAAATATTATCCTGCTTTTTATTTTTATTAGACCAGAGTTCTTCTTTCATGGTGCAGCGATAATGAGCACTGCTCTAATCAGAGGCATTAAAAGCTGAACAGCATGACAATCAACCATGATGACATTTCATAGCAACACTTGGTACAGTGGAACAATGTTTTGTATATTTCATGTTCAATCTGCTCCTTTACAAGGGCTATTTGAGGAAAAGGTTTCTACCATATAAAAGGTGACAAGCTGGCGCTGTGTGGTAAGTACAG